AGATCAGGAGTCAGGTCGGATATGGGTGAGTGTGTGTGTGGGGGGGTGTGTGTGGGGGTGTGTGTGTGTGTACTGAACACTCCATGCCTCATAATACGGTTATTTTAGGGCTGATTATTTACATCTAATCTCCAGCAAAACAAACTAGGTCCTTAAAGAAAAAGTTTGCAGCCCAGCCAGGGTCCTAGTGGGTAACAGTCACACCCCTGGTCTTGATCTGGAGCGTTACTAAGCTCCGGGATTACATGCATCCTCAGCTATGACTCTACATGTGGAAAACCAAGTGGAAAATACGGACTGGTGAAAAAAAAGTCTGTGGTTTAAAAATGATTTATTACAGATGGTAAAAACATTCCAACTTTCTAGCTCTTCTGGGTTAAGTTAGCCTGGGCAATCAGGACAAAATGGCAAGGAGGCCAAGGTCTAAGTTTTAGCCCCAGGGCCTGGTGGCTTTTTTGCCCTAGGCTAGACCCAGACTCTGCAATCACAGCCTGCAGACCAGAGGCGGCGTGGTGGGCGGTGGGGCAGAGATCGTGGGAGCCCTTGTGCTGTATCAGCACGAGGAGTGCCTGGGAAGCACTTTCTGTTCCCTGCTTTCAGGAGATTTATGTTCTATCCTCCTGGCAGTGTGAAGGTGCTAAAGGCTAGTTCTTACCAAATCCCCGCCTCCGCCGTTCTTTCCTGATGCCTGAAAAAGCACTTAGGAGCTTCATCTACATGAAAATTAAGATTATTTCATTTTAGTATTACTTATCCTCTCTCTCCATATTCATGGGAGCCTTTTAAATTCTCCAGTTTTTATTTCTATGACCTATTTAATATTTTGCTTTTCTAGTCTCCTGAACAATCACCTCTGAATTATTGACATTAATGGAGAGAAGACTTCAAGAAGAGCAGTAATTAGATGGAGTATATTGTATTAAAGTGCTTTCTAGATTGAAATTGATAAAGGAATGAAGTTTTCTTAGTAGAGTGAGTGCTTTCCTAACCATCCTATGGCCCAGGGGACAGGCTGTGTTCCTACCACCAGCCCCACACAGGCTCCGGCCTCATGGCCGGCCCTGGGGCCAGCCCAGGTCAGCTGACTTGCTCCTAGATTTGCTTATTTGGGGGTGAACTTAGCACCTCATTACATAAATAAATGTTATGTAAACTGGTGAAGAGGGGCGTACAAATGAAGAGGTCATGTCCATGAAATCCAAGTTAAATGCTTTTGAAAGAATTGATGAAGTCAAGTCTCTAAAATTTTTTCTGTTGAATTGGGTATGGATGAGTTAAAATTGGGCAAGAAAAAGAAAAAGAATAAAAGCAGAGGACCATGCACTGTTTTCTTTACAAGTACTCACTGCACTGTAGGAAACCATCATGGACATCACAAAGGATCCCCTACAAGTATGTGTGTGTGTCTGTGTATTTGCTAGACAGACTTCAAGAAGCTCTAATTAAACAGCCTTGGCCCAACATCAAAACATGGGTGATGATAAATTTATATTTATGTATTTTAAAGCAGTTAGGGTACAGGTGCGCCACTCCTCTCCCCACCCCATGCACTTTGGTCAACTGTTCCAAGTACCTTTCCAACTGCTGGTCCTGGCCCGGTCAGAGGGCATTCACCCAAAGTGACCAAACCCCAAACAGTGGCTGGATCCCGAATGAGTTGACTTTAGCCACCTCTCTAAGTGTTAGTAAAGGGTTAGCCTCCCACTGACAGCTCCACAGAGGGTCCAGCAGTCCTCCGAACTTGCTAAGTGGCAAGAGGGGATTTGTCTCAGAGTAAAGGGCAGCCTCGAATAGTCGAATAGTTGGGAGCAGCGGGATCACTGTAAGGCTGATCCAGGATGTGCTCAGTAGCATAAGCCCCCTCAACACTATCCAGAATCTATCACTGCCCCTATGGGGCCTGAGCCTGTGCCATGAGGTATCATGGGTCATGGAAGGTCAGTGCAAGGCCAGGAAAGAGATGGCATCAGGTGGGGGCAGCCAGAGGACACAAGCTGTTTTCTGTGACTTCTCCTTACAATTAGGAACAACAGAACCCGCCCTCCATCTCCCCACTCCTCTTCCTCTGCCCCTCCTCTTCCCTTCCCCCACTCCCCTCCAGGCCCCCAACTTGTGTCCACTCGGGGTTTCCTTCATTCTTCACTGTATTTACTGCTACAGCTGCTGTCGCATTTTACCACCAGAGGGCAACAGTGTCTCTAAAATGAGGGGTTCCTGCCCAGCCCAGAGATCACAGCATCAAGGAAACCAAGGAATGTGGGAGCTAGATGAGTTTTCAAACATCATTTGGAACACTGGCTTTCAAAACTTTTGGAGCTGCAACTCACAGTAAGAACTGCTTTCCTCATGATGACCTACTTCATGCAAATATATCTGAAACATTTTGAGACATTACCTGCCCTTGCTTTTTCAATGCACTCTGAGTAGTTCATATTCTAAACTACTTCCTTAGAAAAAATAAAACAACTGGACCCTGCTAAATCAATTTCGTAACCACTAGTGGGCCCTTAGTTTGAAAAACTCTGGCGTAGCACCAGCCTCTCATTTTATGAAGGAGCATCCTGACCCCCAGCATGGAGAGGGAGCCCCATTAGCTACACTTCTCTCACCCACCTGGACACCTGCTCACCCTGCAGGGCCCGCCTGGACAGGTGACTGTCAGTGCAGCTCCTAGCACAGCTTGGCAAGGAATGGACTCGATGAACAGCACAAATACAGCTTGGGGACTTCTTGCCAATGCTGTGACCGCCATTGTGACTGAAGCAGAAATTCCTTCTCACCACACTGAAAGTGCCAGGTAGTCTGCATCCGTGCTCCTCATTCAGGCAGCTGAGCGTTATAGAACTGAATGAATATCAGAGAGGCCTTCCCTACCTCCCCTATTGACTCTACCCCAACTTTGAATTAGGGCCACAAAATCTAGCCCAGTGCCTGGCACACAGTAAGTGCTCAAGACTGCCTCTCCTCTCGGATGTTGTAAGGGTAACTCACTTTTTATTCTTTATGATTGATGTGTGTGTATGTGAGATATATATATATATATATATATATGTCATTTATATGACCCTTAAAGCCACCTGGCATTGTTGGCAGAACATGAACTATTTCTATTCCAAGTGGGGAAGTAGCCAGAGAAGACTTATACAACTTTCTCCAAGCTGTGTGGAGCTCTAGGGGCAGAGCAGGAGCTGTACTGAGGCCTCACAATGCCTCACGAGCGGTGCCCCCATATTCTAGGGAGGCAGACCAGATTGGAATCATCACTCACTGCCAGCAACCCTGTCCCTTGCCTCTGCCACCCCAAGAACCCCACGTGTCATTGTTACAAGTTAGGACACACCCTGCACCAGGCTGACTTGATCACACTTGGAGGTGGGCCTCTCTTGAGCAGGGATGTTTATAGGACGCAGAATGAAGGAGAATAATTTCACTGAATTCCTGGAAGAAACTGACACTGCTTTGGACCCCAGAGATTCTCAGTCCTGAAAAGGGCACTGAGCTCTCTGCCTTCCTGTGTAGCCATTTTGGTTATAAATGTTTTCAGATCAGAGAGCAGATGTGAAGGTAAAGCAGAGGACAGTAGGAAGTTATCCAATCTCAGGGTCAACGCCCTGGGCTCTTCTACTTACTACTCATCACTGTCATGAATACATGTCTCATGTTTATTATTTTTTTTCTTTGCTAAAAGGCAGGATCTCTTCAAAATTCAGGAACATTTTATACTATTACATATGACAAGTGGAAGAGTAAGATAATTTTTACTTAACTTGCTTGGGTTTTGAGAGCTAGTTTGAAAGATGCCAACCAAGTATTTTATTTTATTTTTTCCTAAGCAAGTGACTAAGTGCATGAAAATGCAAATTATCTTTTTATTATTATCTTATGGTCTTGGAAGGAAGGAAAAAAAATTCCTGGAATTTAAAACTGGTGTACTTTAGACACCTGAGGTCGGTTTTCTGTAGGGAATCCTCTCCCCTCATAAGAGGGGACGCCCTCTTTGGACTCTGGGAGGTGGCTACTCTCAGACATGGATAGAAAGGCCTCAAGCTCTATTGCTTCGCTTCTCTGTTGAACTAGTAAAACTTTTTTGTCCCTGAAGCAGCATAGATTGTTAAAATAGGTGACAAGAAAAGGTTGCCTTTTTCCAGAAACAATCCAATTTAATCATTCAATAAATCTAGCCATGTTGGGTGCAGGAATGAATCTTTGAAGAACCAAGGCTGAACTTGAAAAAGGTCTTTCTTACCGAGTCGGACAACGGCCTAGGACACTCAAATGAAAACCCTCTCTACTCAATTCTAGATTCTTTGAGGTTTTGTAGAGCATCTGGCAGTTGCTAGAAGGATTAGCTTTGCTTTGGGTACAGTGTCGTTCCATAATGTTTGTAATGTCTCGGATGAAAGAAACGTAGCTTCACACACGAGAGGACACCTATAGCCAGTGCCTTGAAAGCAGTAACCAAACAGGAAGTTGTAAACTCATCCGTCCACTCAGGTCATTAAGAAAAGTGAGCCCGGGGTTCATTCCCCTGACGTTAGAAAGTTTCTACACAGACTTACACCTAAGTTCCAGCCACTTGACACTGAAGCCCTCGCGTGTGGTCCGCAATTAACCAGCGACATTCGTCTGCCGTACTGCATGAGAACTTGTTTAAACAGTTTTGGAACTGATTCAACAAGATTAGGTGTTGCCTTTGGGGCCCTTTCCTCAATTTCCCCAGGAATGGGCGCTGTCAACAGCGCTGCCCTGTGAAAAATCTACACCTGGTAGGAGCATAACCGCCCGAAGGAACGAGCCGGGTTTCCGCACGTCCGCGCGCCCGGGGGCCGCTCCCACCCCACCCCCGACCCCGCGGGGCGCCGAGGCGCCACCCGGTCTCCCGGAAGTCCCGGGCGGCACGGCGCCCCCGGCGGATCGGGCTGGCGGGTGGGCGGGCGCGGCTCCCGGGCGTCCCGGGCGTCCCGGGCGTCCCGGCCCGCAGCGCGCGTGCCCGCACTCACCCAGGCGCGACCCTCCTGCACGGCCGCCAGCACCCGCAGCGCGCTGGGCGAGCCGGCGCGGAAGTTGAAGAAGTGCAGCGCCGCGCGCGCCGCCTGCTGCAGGAGCCCGCGCGACGGCCCCGCGTCCTGCGACTGCCCGGGCTCCTCGGGCACCGCCGCCGCCCCCCGGAGGGAGAGCAACAGCAGCAGCGCGAGCAGCGGGGCGCCGGGGCGCAGGGCCGGGGGCGGGGGCGGGGGCGGGGGCGCGGGTGACGGTTGCCGGCGGGGCTGCATGGACGCGGGCAGGCTGGCGTGGCGCTCCGCGGACCCGGGCTCGGAGCGGGAGGCGCCGGCGCTCGCGGAAATAAGACCGCGGTGGGCCCCTCCCCTCCGCCCCCGGGGCGCCGGCAGCAGGGAGCCCGGGTCCCCGCTCGGCCGCGCCCTCTCCGCGCTCCCCGCAGACCGGCCCCCCTCCTCTCCTCCCGGCTCGGTGCCGGGACGCGGCGGCGCCTCCGCGGCGCGGGGACTGGGCTGTCTGGCCCGGGCCGCGCGGGGGGCGGGGGCACGGTGGGGACGCCTGCCCGAGGGAGCGCGGTAGGATGGGTGACACCCTCGCGGCACCCCCAGCCGACCTCGGGTACTCGGCTTCTTCCGTGCGGTTGCTGCGATTTCGCAACCGTGGGGCTTCAGAGGGAAACTGCCTGGGTTCTGGAAGGCTGAGGGCTGTGATTGCCCAGCAGATGAAAAGGGGGGGACCGGTAGAGAAGGGAGCGGGCGCAGCGGGCGTTGATGGCGGTCACTGTGGCACGTGGAAGTGGCACCCAGCCCGTGGTCGCCAGAGGCTGGTGCTGGGGAGGAGGCTGCAGGAGGCCGCCGGCCGGGAGCGAGCACCCACGCACCCCCGGCGCGGCGGGAGAAGCGTCGAGGTGGAGGCGAGTGGGCTGCAGGGCAGAGTAAGGGAGGGCTCAAGGGGCCCGTTGGACTTAGAAACAATCAGGTCATTGAGAACCCTGGCACGAGGCGGAATTACAGGCCAGGGTGGCGGCTGTATTCCGGCAGGGTGAGGTGTGCGCCAGCCTTAGGGAAGCGTAGGCAACTCGTTAGGCACGCGGCCTGACCAGCGGAGATGGCCAGTGTTTTTAAGTCACAGACAAGAGAGAAAGCCCAGGAGAACCAGGGGTTAGAGGGGAGAACTGCCAGGCGCTCCTAGCACCCGTTTCCCCACCGTGGCTTTATCCAGAGGGCCACCCTGCGCAGCACCCACGGGCTCCAGCCCCACTGCGGGGCTAAAGGAAACCCCTTTTCTTGTGGGTGGTAGAGGCCCCTCTTGCGCTGATTCCGGATGAGAAATGAGCAGAACCCTGGGGGCGATAGATGGGGCCCCATCTCCAAATACATCCTCCCTCCCTCCCCACATCACTTCTGGATGTTGTCTGTTCAGGGTCTTGGCCCTGGGGAAATGAGGGGGAACGATGAGGCGCGCATCCCGGCCTGCTGGAGCACACCTTTTAGGAGGTGGGGCCCTAACCATCAGTGAGGCCAAGGGAATGTGCCCTGTGTGGGACTCAGCTCCATGCTGTGGAGAAGAGTTAAGCCAGAGAGGACGCGGAGAGTTGGGAGGAGGTTGGTGTGAGAGCCAAACTAGCTCCATTTTGTTGTTTACAGCACAAGCTCCATTCTTGGCTGTTTACCGCATAAGTTCCATTCATAGCCCTTCTGCCCCAACCTCTGCCAGTGAAACCTGCAGGGCCACTCCCTGCTGCCTCTCCCCCACCCCAGGTTGCACAGCTGCTGAGCGGTAAACTGAGTCACCTTAGGCAAACAGCTGCTATAACAAGCAGTAAGTTTCTATTACCTTGAAATAAAGGTAATCAGGCTGCACCAACTCTAGCCCCTGGTTAAGGGACCCCCACCCCCACCCCTCACCTGTACCAATCCAAATTCACCTTTACTAGTGAAATCATCAGCTACCAATGCAAATCCTCCTTTACTAATGAAATCACCAACCACCAATGAAAAGTGTACTCGTATCCGACCCTACCCCTCTTGCTTTCTGTACCCCATAAAAACTTGCTCCACCCGGGGTTCAAGGCTCTTCCTTGGTGCGTACACTAGGAGAGTCCAAACCTGGGTTTGAATAAAACCTCACCTCATGCCTTTTACATCGGAGTGTGTCTCGGATTTGTCTGTTGGGGCTGTTTGGGAGAATAATTTTCGGACCTAACAGTTGGCATCTTAAATGATGCATCAGGGTAGGTCTCACTGGGGACATGAGTGAGGATCTTAGGGACCCAGGTGGGCATGTACCGAAGAGCCCTGGGGGCGGAGGGGGCAGCAGGTGCAGAGGCCGGGGCAGGAGTCCACCTGGCATGCCTGAAGAAGAGCCAGAAAGTCCAGCTGGAGGGGGAAGGGAAGGGGGAGAGTCCCCTGATAGGCCACATCTTTGTCTGGATGTGCCACTGACTTACTGGCAGCCTGAGATGAAGCCTGCTTCAAGAATAGTGGGGCACAGAGAGAGGAGGACCCTGGGTTCCTGATGGCATTGCAGACCACCTGAATTGGCTGATCCTAAAGTTTATTTCTTATTGTTTATCTTCATTGAAGCTGTTTCTTGCCCTCAGAAGCAGCCGGACACAGTTAATCATCTTCCAGAACCCAGTCATGGCTCCCTTGCCTTAGTCTGTTCGGTGTTGCCGTATCAGTATACTTAAGAGTGGATAATGTAAAAAGAACAGATATTTATTTCTTATAGTTCTGAAGGTTGGAAGTCCAAGGTTAAGGGACCAGAAGTTGGTATCTAATAAGGGCTCAGATTCTAATTGCAAGGTGGCACCTTGAATCCTGAGTGCTCTGGCGGGGAGGAACTCCGTCTCCCTCAAAGGCTGGGAGAGTGGAAGAGGTGAGCAGCCCACTCCCCACCGTCTTCTTTATAGCACCATTAGCCCACTATTGAGGCCGGCGCCTTCATGACTCAAACACCTGCCGTTAGGTCCCACTTTCCAGCACTATTGCATTGGGGATTACGTTTCAACATGAGTTTTGGAGAGAAGAAAAAGGGTAAAAACCATGGCATCCTCCACATGGTTATAGTAGGAGGCTTCTTGGGAATTTATCACCTTCAGGTTTTGTGAAATTTTCCTTGTTTTACTTCACTGTTTTGTCTTTTGGTCAGAGTATGTTCGACTGTTTTCAGTGGCAGGTAACTGAAATCCTCATTACCTGAATGCAGACTACTCAGTGGTCTGAAGTGGGAGATCTCAGGGATGGTTTGGTGACTCAGTGAGTCTTTGAAAGATCCACGCTCTCTCCATCCTTCTGAACGATTCCCTGCTTGTTGGCTTTTTGCCCATGGATTTGTAGCTTCAGGGTTATAGAACGGCTGCCATGCCTCTGAGTATCACATCCTCACATGCTGGAGATTGTCAGGATGGCAACAGAGCTCCACATTATGAGATTTTTTTTTGTTTTTTTTTTTTTGCTGGGGCTGAGTTTGAACCCGCCACCTCTGGCCTATGGGGCCGGTGCCCTACCCTTTTGAGCTACAGGTGCTGCCTTCATCATGAGCTTATTTTTTATTTTTTTATTTTTCATCAGAAGAAGTAGCTTTCCTGGGACTTTTCCTCACCAGACCTTCTTTCACATCTCATGTGCCAGAACTGGGTCACAGTGGTAAACCCTAAGCTGCAAAAGAGGCTGGGAAAGTATCTGTCATGACGGTGAGATGGTGGAACTTTGCAGACCAGAGTAAAGTTGGACAGAAACATGCTGCTGTGTGAACTCGGGGCGCTCTTCTAGGGTTAGTTATTTTTAATAGCGATAATAATTACAATCAGGGAAAATAGATGCTGATCAGGAACACACAGCATTTATTTTATAAACAGGGATGTCTGGAACAGAGACTGTTTCGTTTATTGAGCACTGTCCATGTTCTTTGTCTGCTTATCTGTGGGGTTGTTAGATTTCTGGCTGATTTGTAGAAACTCACTACTAGAAAAGTCAGGCCTTGATGGGCCGTGTGCATTGCTAATATTGTTTTCTCGGTTCGTATACAGCTTTTGTGTGCACACAAATGGTTCTTCCTTGTCAAATGCCGTGTGGGGGGATGATACTGCTCACTGCACACCACATTCTCCAAAAGGCCTATTATCTCAGGTCACACGCACCACCTGCCACCCAGGTCTCTCCTCCTGGAAGTTGTTGGAAGCCTGCGCCACGTGGAAGGGACGCTCAGCCCCAGCGTCTGTGCAGAAGCAGTTGTATTCCCCACAAGACTGTCCTAATACATCATGTTTCCTGGTTCCTTCATCAATGCTCAAAGTCTTGTGAGGATTTTTAGCTGGAGAACTTGGTTTGTGTTTAAGAAACATAACGGTATATAAAGCTATAGTGACTATTAATCGTATGAAAAGATACGGAGGGCAAGGAGGAAATGGACATGACCTGTTTGGTGGGCTGTTTGCCCTGTCTGTCAAAGGCACCTGCCCTGGGAAGTGCACATACCCTGTGACCCAGCAATCCCACTGTTAAAGTTTGTGGTGACAATAGATTCGCACACGTACACGAGGAGGCACTTACAGGCTGGTTATCTCTGCATATGGACCGTGAACGCCTTGAGGCCAGAGATGGCAAATGTCTCCTCCTTTGCTCTTCATTTCCCAGACCAGCGCCTGGCATGCAACAGGCACCCTTACAGACTTTTTGAAAGAAGGAAGACTAAAGGCCTAAAAGAATTTAAGTTCCGTAGTTAAATAAGTGTGGTCCCCCATATAAGGAAAGGTTGTGCGGTCATGAAGGAGGACATAGATGCAGCTGTGCTGTACCAAGCCGTCTCTAAGGTATGATGTTAACACATAGTGTGGGAAAGGGCCAGTAGTGTGCTGCTGCTTGTTTTAAAGAAACAAATGACATACACAGACATCTATAATGTGGAAATATGCAGAAGCTGGCCCTGCAAAGTTCACAGGAAATTGGCAGCTATGGGATGGGACAGAAGTTTTTCACTCTATACCCTTTTGTGATTGTTGATTTTTCTTGTAATGTGTGTTACCTATTCTAAATAAATCAATAAATAAGTGACGTGCTGTGTCTGAGTGTATTGCAGTGACTTCCTCCTGCAGTAGGAGGACCTCCCAGGTGCTATACAGGCTGGCACTTGGCAAAGCCGCACCGAGCCTGCCTTTCCTTATTTCCAGGCAGTTCAGTCTAGTCTTCCTCCCGCTAAGCCTTGCCTTTCTACACTCTTCTTTTGTTCAGGCCTGCTCGGGTCTCCTAACATTAAAACTCTCAGAGCTAAT